AGTGGGATAGGAATGTACAGAAACCAACGAGAATTTCCCCAAAAATTTTCTCAATTCTGTCACCAGCACATGTAGTTGACCATGTGTATATTTTCTTACGTCGATAGTCATGGCTGGTCGGTATTTGTCGTGTAGAGAACTCAGTCGTAGTGGTTGAGTCGTTAACCTACTTTAAAAGCTTGATGAGAGTGACAGATCGAGTTATGGTAGGTACAAATGCTACTGCTGCGGCCGCAAGTGCTTCCTCTATAGGAGACAACACTAAGAGGTAGTATAGTCGTCCTGTCTGTGGCTTGTTCGGACTGGAGTGGTAGGTCTACTCAACAAGGAAGGGAGGTGACGCTAGTGCCACGAGGTAGTCGCGAGATGGTAGGACTTAGTATCGGCCGACGGCGGAGTATTCTTCCTTGGTCTCAGATGGGCACTCAGCCACCGCCGCCGCCACCTCCTCCTAATGGTAAGTGGTCACGCCTGTGTCAACCACATGAGGTCGTCAGGTGCTACAGCGTGGAGCTCCGTAAGCTGCTATGGCGGGCAAGCTGCTGTACCTCCCCCTCCTCCTCCGCCGCCTCCTCCACCACCACCGCCGTCGTCTACGCCCTTTGAGAGGCGACGTGTACCAGCTGGTTGGGTAGCTGCGAGTCGAGGGTAGGCATGGGAGTTGGCATTATCATTAGAGTACGCCTGGTTAGGTCGACAGCACAAGGGGCAGGGTCTCGATCTGCGTTGACGGGAAACCTCACGTACAACCCCTCGGGCTCCATGACGGTGGTAAGGAGGGGTAGCTGTGTTGGAGGGGGTGGGGAGTTTGCGGAATCAGGTTGAGAAGGAGAAGCGAATGGAGCTAGAGAAAAAGCGAGTTTTGTTGCAGTGTACGGAGAGTATACGAAAGCTTCTGTCGAAGATGAACGAGGCTGGCATCACTGAGCGACAAAAGGAGGTAGGTGAAGGGGTGCTCTCCAGGGGGGAACTGATGTATGTTTAGAAGTATAAGGTGATGATTAAGCGTATTAAGGAGACCATGGGCAGCCTGGATAAGGGTCATCATACGATTGTGCATAACAAGTAGGTTGAGGAGAGGTGGAATTCGAATGGTGGTAGTTGTAGTAGAGTTGCTTCATCAGGTCGGCCACTGTAGCTACTGGTGCTTCCTCGACTGTGGAGCCGGCGGCGGCGGCAGCGGATAGGAAAGTAGGTTGCAGCATAAGGGTCCAGAGGTTGGGTACTCGTGGTTGGAATAGGTCCTCTTGCCGGCCCGAGTGATGCAGTCACATAACTTGCTCCCTGCTACTAGCGCTGGAAAGACCATTAATCAGGTAAGGCACAGGAAGTGACCGTTCCATCATCAACTTACTCCTCCATCATCTTAGGCGTCTCCCACTACTGCCAAGTAGTAGAAGTGCCTATCTATATCAACGTCAATAGCAAGGCGACAAGCGGCGGTTGAGGTCATCTTGTAACAGCCTGATACCAGCAGCAGCAGGCAGTATGAGATGGACCTAGACCTGGCGTTATGTTCATTATAATACCATCATTCCCATTGTATCTATTATTCTTCCAGACTTAAGCGACACTTACTCTGCATTCTGACGACGATCACTGGAGCAATGTTGTGCATGCGTGCAGATTGCAAAGTTGTATATTTGTGTCCATCACCACCATCACCACCACGTACTGTCTTATTTGCCTCACGTAGCTGGTCTGCGGCCTTATCCTCTTCCATCCTCTGGGGCTGATTTGTTGTTGTGTTACACTGGCGAAGTGACGGAAGTGTGGTATGACATTTCTTCTGGGAAGCGAGTAAATAAATGGGGCTCTTAGATGTCGAGTAGTCAGTCAATAGCAGTCAGTGAGTTGAGGAGTGCGCAAGCGAAGTTGCGAGGATCAGAATGTCTACCGAGTTAAAATGCCTTTTATAAAGGAAGACAATCGCGTCACAGAAGTTGTGGACGATAGCTCCCCCCGAGAGGAGGCGGA